TTTTATATATTAGATGAATCTAATATATAAAATTCTCGTGTCACAGTTTTCGTTGCCATACTCCTCCGAAACGGCTTGACCGATTTTGATGAAATTTTTTGTGCTTATCCGGTATCTATGAGAATCGGCTAACATCTATTTTTCATCCCCCTAAATGTTAGGGGTAATCCACCCCTAAATATTTTTTTTTATTTTTTAGACAAAATTTTTAATTTCTATTTTTTTATGATACAACATACAAAAATACATACAACCCTAAATTTTCACCCCTCTACGATCAACCCCTATTTTTTATTTGTTAATTATAAATTTTAAATTTTTTGGCAAGATTTTATTTTTTATTTTGTCATGACTTAAAATAAAATAAAAAATATTACTCTCAATTTTCACTCTTATAGGATCAACCCCTATTTTTCCATCCCGATTAATATTTTTTTTATTCTATGCACAGATCTGCAATAAGGTTGCAAGATGGCAATCAAATATTATAATTGTAGTGCGATAAATTGATAAATTCTTATTCAGAGTTTATAATTTCAAGTTCCTTTAATTATGATTTTTTTAAATTGAATTTGATCTCCCGCCTTCGCCGGTCGACTACTGATCAACTATCTATCGATCAGCTATCCCCGCCAGGTGTCACCACTCATCCAGCAAACATCACGTAGCAGGGATGAGGACGAAGCCGGTCTCCTGTCTTGCTTACTCACTATAAATCATAGATTATAGTGATATATTTGAGAGCTATACGATACTATACATTTTTCAGCCATGTTTTTTTGGTTTTATTTGTGTATCAATAGTATGTTCAGTAGGTCTGAGAGTCGGCTACTATCTATTTTTCATACCCCTAAGTGAAAAGGGTTGTCCACCCCAAACATTTATTTTTTATTTTAATTTTTTGGATATTTTTTTTTGTTTATAATGAGGTATTATGTGGTTAAATGAGGTTTTTTTTTCTACAGTAGAATTTCCCTAGAAATCTTATTTAAGGCAACACAACGTTTGCCGGGTCAGCTAGTAATAATATATAGTGTGGCAAATTCACAAAATTTTGAAAGTATACCATTTAAATACAACAATTTTTTTTTAAATAATTAAGGCTACTTTTACGGTTTTTGATCTCGCATTTTTTACTTTCATAGAATTATTTCCAGTTTAGTTTACAGTTTTCGTGTTAGAAGCAGTCCCTCTAGGGCTAGTTTTAGCAAATTCTTTCAGGAGGATGAGCCCGTGAGTTAACCTCCCCGTCTGGGCGTAGCTAAAACAGTCCCATAGACTACCAGGGAATCGACAGAGAAAACAAACAGTAAAAGTAGTTTTAATTATTTCCATTACTCGGGAAAATCTGTGGTTGAATCTCAAAGTGTGTTTTCATTGGGTATTCTCTTTTTTTTATTATTATTATTGTATTCCATCTTCGAGCCGATGAATTGCCAATGTTATGTACGCCATCATTGTCACATGCATCAGGCCATAAATTAAAGAGTTTCAGTTATTTTCAATGTTAAATGTTTGTGACACAGCCACTGCCACACAGTACTTTAAAAAAAACCGAAGAAGAGAAATATAATTTTCGTTTAATTTTTTTTATTGCCCTTGTAGGCAGACGAGCATACGGCCCACCTGATGGTGAGTGGTTACCGTCGCCCATGGACTTCAGCAATGCCAGGGCCAGAGCCAAGCCGCTGCCTACACTATAACTTTCAACTATACCAAATTAAATACTTATCACGTACACACTCGCATTAACTAAACTTATTTAATCTCACTCAAAGCTTCTTATAGCGACTCAAACACGTCGTGGATGCAAGAATTACCTATCAAGTATATACATACAAACATATGGTAAAATGTGTATCCTACTTACAAATCCAAGAGTTATCTGCTAGCAAGTTCTTCATTGAATTACTCAAGCATTTCCATTTGAAAACTATTTAAGTATGAGCGCGGACCTACAACATTCGACTTCTGGGTGAAGGCGTTATGACAAAAAATAGGCAGTCCATTTTATAAGCATGCCATCTGCTTACATATTTGATCAACCAACGCTTTAAGCCGCCGTGTTACCACTGTTTCCAATCCCAACCTAGATTTACTAACATTTTAAATATAAGCGTGCTACTAACAAGTCTATGTAATTTCTATGTTCTGAAATTAAAACTTATTTTTATTATTTTATAATCGAGACTTCAAACTCTTGCTTCAAGGAGGATGTCATCATTGTCCTCTGTCTCTCTGGACGTCAACAAAATAAACTTAGAGCTTTATCAAATTCATATTTCAAAAACCTGTCAACTATTACGAATTTATTCCCGCGGTACAGGTCACCGACCCCACGCCTCTATTGATATTTATCTATTAATATTTTATTAATATTTATTTTGTTAATATTTAAAGTTTATTTATTTATTTATTGCTTAGATGGGTAGACGACGCGTCCACAGCCCACCTGGTGTTAAGTGGTCACTGGAGCCCATAGACAACTACAACGTAAATGCGCCACCCACCTTGAGATATAAGTTCTAAGGTCTCAGTATAGTTACAACGGCTGCCCCACTCTTCAAACCGAAACGCATTACTAGAAATAGGCGAGGTGGTGGTACCTACCCGTGCGGACTCACAAGAGGTTCTATCGCCAGTAATAAGTGATTTAGTACTTTTACGATTTCTAATCTCGCGTTTTTGTGGTCTTAGCTACTTGTAACCAACTCGAATACTGGAAAGTGTTCGTAACGTGGACATAATACAATGACCATAGAAAAAAAAACGTGAGATTTAACTGTAAAACTACTTTTAACTAGAGGTCCCGCAGTAGTCGAAATTCGACTATAATTAAGTGGAATTGTAAGTTTGTACACTATTATGATTATATTTTATACTTCTATAATCACAAATTTCGCCAAGACTACACTATAAAAAATATTAACAAAGACAAACCATATTCTATTCTCAATTTGACAACAGACGTCAAGAACAAAAGTTTGACAATAAATAGTATGCATGCGTGTGTGCGCCAAATACGTGGTATGTAGTGTGTGTAATGTTTCCTTTATTGATTTAATGTATCTTTTATGCATTATTTTAAACAAATATTGGCATTGTGCACTTCTTCTCTATATTCTCTATAAGTGTGGAAAATTTCATACTCCTTTCGCGCAATTTTCGTAAAAAGGGATACAAAGTTTTTGCTTCACGTATTAATATATAGATTGTGTTTACGACTCGTGAACATTGAAGAAATTACTAAGTTAATGTTACCAATTAGTTTCGCTACCCATCTCCGTGTTTGGATATGTACCGAGTTGATACAGTATTTTACGGAGTCTACTGATAAATTCATAGCAATCACTGTATCTGTTTTTCTATTAGCTGCAATAAAATATATTAAAAAACCCGAAATTATTCTTAGAAAAGCTATCAAAAAATATAAAATATATATCGTTGTTAACAAAAAAAGATTCAATATGATTTTCTCTTAGGAAAAGGTTTTATTTAAGTGTCAATTTTATATCGGTCAAGCCAATGATTTTTTATACAACAGATATGTTATCTTCATAGTAACTGACTCTTCAAATCTGATCGCGCCATATATATCTACATACCTACCGATATAGTGCACACACATGTTGACAAGTAGCATTAATGAAAATTACAAAAGATGGGAAAAGCGCGTGAGTAAAAAAGATAGCTATAATTGGAACGATTGCACTTGTTATATTATTATTGCATTTGTTTAGACGCGACTAAAGACGAAACGTCCCAATTGGCCTGTTTTCGAGTCTTCACTTGACGTGCGCTTGAAACATATCTGCTTTTTTTTACATATAAAATATCATTGAGTCAAGCCCTTTTCATGCCATACGCTTTATGGCAATCATTTTATTTATGTGTTAAGGAGGATAGAAGTAAAGAGCAACCAATTCAGTGTATTAAAGTGTCCGTTGAAAGGGACTCGCAGAAAGATGGCGCCACAGTAGAAAGTGGAAAGATTTTAAAAACAGCGCCACAAACTATTGAGGATTTTTTTTTTTGCTTAAGATGGGTGGACGAGCTTACAGCCCACCTGGTGTTAAGTGGTTACTGGAGCCCATAGACATATACAACGTAAATGCACCACCCACTTTAGTTCCTGTGAAATCACAATAAAAATATTGCAAAAAAGCCATTGAACAAATACACTTATTTAAAATGAATGTAATTTTATTAATATTATTTCTCGACATCAAAAGCATAAAAGGCCAGACATATTATTAATAAAAAAATTTTTTTTTTTTGGATATTATAGGGTATTAAATTAACACGGAAAGAAACACTTCCAACGTAAATAGTAATAAAAATAAATACTTGAAATTTTAAATACTTCATATTTTTTACTACACAAATCAGGGAAAATATTAAAATTTTCAACCCGGTTTAAAACTGCTATATTCATGTCATTTCCATTTCCTACACTAGCGCCATTTCGGTGAGTCTTCCAACAATAACTTGCTGTTTACAGGTCGACACTTTTTCAACTAGCCCCCAGACAATTTGAAGTCGTCGTGGCCTAAAGGATAAGACGTCCGGTGCATTCGTGTGTAGCGATGCACCGGTGTTCGAATCCCGCTGGCGGGTACCAATTTTTCTAATGAAATACGTACTCAAAAAATGTTCACGATTGACTTCCACGGTGAAGGAATAATAACATCATGCAATAAAAATCAAACCCGCAAAATTATAATTTGCGTAATTACTGGTGGTAGGACCTCTTGTGAGTCCGCACGGGTAGGTACCACCGCCCCGCCTATTTCTGCCGTGGTGAAGCAGTAATGCGTTTCGGTTTGAAGGGTGGGGCAGCCGCTGTGACTATACTGAGACCTTAGAACTATATCTCAAGGTGTGTGGCGCATTTACGTTGTAGATGTCTATGGGCTCCAGTAACCACTTAATACCAGGTGGGCTGTGAGCTCGTCCACACATCTAAGCAATAAAAAAAAAAAAAATAAAAAAAAATACAAGATGGTGCTCCCTATTTCTACCCTCCATATTAGATGTCCAATATTTAATCTCAAACAATAAAAATGAGAACTGAAGTTCGTTACATAACCTTATCTATTACCGCCAACATTTGTTATATTAGAATATAATATTATTGTGTACTTTGTAATAGATTGGTTTTCACAATTTACAACGTAATAATACCGTTAAAATTAATCTGAACATCAAGTATTCAGTGATAGTTTCCTGTTGTATTTTAATTGTAATAAATAATATTAACTGAATACGTCATTGATAAATAAAAAAATCATGTAAAAATCTAATTTAAAGACTTTTGGACCAGTCATGACAGCTTCGATTTCATAATTTTAAGGCTGGAAAGTTAAGGCTGTTTGATTAATATTTCCCTTATCTTAAAAAAACTAAGCTGCACAGCCAGTGTTGATGTCAGAGCTCAGATTTGGCTGTCTGTTCGCATTTTGTGGAAAACCATCCACGTGCGAATTATATAGGCCTTTCAATGTAGATTCATTAACGTATAAAAATATCCTCCGAACGTGGCGTGACAACTAAGAAATAAGGAAGAAAGAAACACAACTTTTCTTCCTTTTTTTTTCAATATGGCAATTGATGAATGATGTATAATGAATAATATGAATAACAAGTAATATGAATATTAAATTGAATTTGGAATTGATTTTTCGCTAATAATTTAAACGTAAAAGATATTATCTAAAACAGAAGAGTAAGTTCAATTTCCAGCGGCCCATGAGACAGTTATATTTAAACGATATCTTAAAAATAACAAAATTAACAAATCATAAATAATAAACAATTCATCTATTATGTACCTATATCACGAGGTCAATTGTTTACAAAATATTAAGGAATAAATAAAAATAAAAACTTAAAAAATTAAAGCAAAAAATACTGCTCCATGTCACCTAAGACTAAAATTATTTATTTACATAATATTTCATTTTAAATTAGCTTAAAAATAACAATTAATAGCAGCATTTATTAATTTCTTTACTAAAAATATCTTAGCTTGTAGAACTAAAATAATTTTATCTGCATGCATTTTCTTTCCGCTTTTTTCTAAATTAGTTGCCATTTGTTTTTAAATTTCGACCAATGAGGTCGCACTGCACTTGCCCACAGATAATCACAAGTCTTTGATCGCGTCCCACAGAAACATTAGTCTGTGGTATAACGCGATATGAATCATGTTCTACAATTGGTACGCCGGCCTGGGCTGGTGATTGTCCTCGGAGTCAGGCTGGTGGATGAGGGGCGGCGACAGAGGATCCTCGCTTGACGTTATGGTTGTCGATGGAGGCACGCCTGTTCATAGATTTCTATATTATTCTCGTTATACTGGTGGTAGGACCTCTTGTGAGTCCGCGCGGGTAGGCACCAACACCCTGCCTATTTCTGCCGTGAAGCAGTAATGCGTTTCGGTTTGAAGGGTGGGGCAGCCGTTGTAACTATACTTGACACCTTAGAGCTTATATCTCAAGATGGGTGGCGCATTTACGTTGTAGATGTCTATGGGCTCCAGTAACCACTTAACACCAGGTGGGCTGTGAGCTCGTCTACCCATCTAAGCAATAAAAAAAATCACATAATTGAGTATAGTGGATAAAGGGGTTAAGTACCATTTTTAAGATTTTTGAGTTTTTTTTACATTGAATGAAGGTATTATGTGCCTTTTTTTTCTACCTGTGCTGATAGCCTTGAGAGGCTATTTCAGCTTATCCTTGACGTTTAGGTGAGCTCACGGGGCTCAAACCGGAGTGTTCCTAACACTGAGCCTAACAAGAGCCGTGCTTCGCAGAATCTACCACCGGATCGGAAATGCGACCCACTGAGAAGAACCAGCGAGAAACTCAGTGGGCTGTGTCTGTGGGGAACTTTTACCGACATCATTATTACGCTGCTACATTCGGCTTATGATTCAAGCGATAGCCTACCCTCATTTTCGTCTTCTTCGGCCAGCCACTTCTGAATCTCCGACTGATACATCCTCCGCTGCAGGACCTCTTTGGTACGAGGTCTCGAACCTATAAAGGTAACCTCGACCTGGAATTTAAAAAAAAGGCTATGAGTTTTCACTTATGAGGCTTGACGCTTAAAGCATTGAGAAGTAGTCATCGTCGCATAAGAGCCTTGGCTGCTGCCTATTGGAAAGGTGCTCACTGAACACGGCAACGTGAACGCCCGTGAGCACTCGCGACACTTAACAACAGATACACACTGCAATAGAACAACAGATAAAATAGTTAAAATAATAAAGTTTGCTCTATTTTTTGTGGAAGTTTCATTATTATAATTTTTTTTATTTATTTATTTAGCTGTTCTCATAGTAAGTGCCTGGTCACATACTGTAATGATGTTAGTAGTATTAGTTACTCTATAGGTTCTGAACATCTTGTGGGATTTTGTTGTACAGGCGCACAGACAAACACCCAATGAATTTCGTATCTTATGTAACCTGTAACCTAAAAGTGTTTATACATACGCCGGGGGGCAGGTGTTGGCGCAGAGTGTCAGCCAGGGTACCGGCAGCGCCGAGTCTCTGGGCTTCCTCCCAGCTCGTGTGCACCTCCTCGTGCAGGAGTTTCTCCTCTGATAATAAATAAACAAACCGTAATGGAACTGTGGACTCGTCCACCGAACAAACCAATAAAACAATAAATAATAGTTTAAAAAACTAACAAAATATGTACGCTTTCATAGAACATCTAACTAAAAAATAGAAAATAAAATTTAAATTAAAAATGATTTTAATGTAAAAATAAGCGTGGGGTGCATGGTATCAGTAGTTATAAATATTTTATGAACAGATATGAGTAGAAGGGTTATTTTGATAATATCTTGAAAAGCACTGCACGCTTTTTTTCAAAATACAAAATACAAAAAATCATTTTTTTACACTATTTTTAATTCAAATTTATTAAAATTTATTTTGTATTTTTTAGTTGGATTTTCTATAAAAGCGTATTTTGTTAGTTTTTTTAAACTATTATTTATTTTCTTTTTTTTAGTTGAATTTCAATTTTTTCAATATATTTCTTTTCATTATTTTTTTTAATATTGAATTGTCATCGGTCCTTAATAAGTATACCAGATTTCGAGTTAATCCGACGTTTTGAAGGTGGTCAAAATCATGTTCAAAGATTCCGTTACAAACACACATACATACATCTGAAGCTAATAAAAGCGTATTAAAAAGGGCTTAAACGCAAAATATCGTGGCGTTATCCAAAACCTTGGTCAATTTGAAACTACCCGGCCTTATGCTTACTGATGTCACTAACGAAAGTGATCAGAGTGGCTTGTGGACAGCAGCAATGCGATAAGCACAAAACAGACCGCCGGTCGCCGAAACCCAAGAGAATGCTCGGAGAGGAATTACTGGTGGTGGGACCTCTTGAGAGTCCGCACGGGTAGGTACCACCACCCTGGCTATTTCTGCCGTGTAGCAGTAATGCGTTTCGGTTTGAAGGGTGGGGCAGCCGTTGTAACTATACTGAGACCATCTCAAGGTGGGTGGCGCATTTACGGTTGTAGATGTCTATGGCCTCCAGTAACCACTTAACACCAGGTGGGCTGTGAGCTCGTCCAACCATTTAAGCAGTAAAAAAAAATATTCTCACCGTCTCTCTTAGTTGTGCTCCTCTTGTACTGTATCCTGAATCGGAATGCCTCCAGTACGCTCGCCACCACGATGGTCAACACCACCATCGTGAACAGATAGAACACCTGAAACCGTCCTTACTAAGTAACCTATCAGCACGCGACTAGCGACATCGTGTAATAAAAATGAAACCCGCAAAATTATAATTTGCGTAATTACTGGTGATAGGACCTCTTGTGAGTCCGCGCGGGTAGGTACCACCACCCTGCCTATTTCTACCGTGAAGCAGTAATGCGTTTCGGTTTGAAGGGTGGGGCAGCCGTTGTAACTATACTTGAGACCTTAGAACTTATATCTCAAGGTGGGTGGCGCATTTACGTTGTGGATGTCTATGGGCTCCAGTAACCACTTGACACCATGTGGGCTGTGAGCTCGTCCACCCATCTAAGCAATAAAAAAAGACATCTGTCGAACGCAATGGATGAATAAATGGACATCTAACAGATGAAAGATTATACCTACATCACGTAATGTAATGTATATATAAATTACGTGTCACGTTGTTTGTCCGCGATGAACACATAAACTACTGAACCGATTTTAACTTCTTCTTTTTTTTTAATATGTGTTTGTTCCAAGTTAGGCCATAGGATGGTTTTTATTTTGATTAATGGTCGCAATACGGCTATGCGGGCATTCAAGGCCTTCTGAATAAACCGATCAAGTTTTAAACAAACAGCCCGATTACATTGTAATTGAGCCTCAAGGGTTCGGATACCTGTACTTACCATAAAATATATTCTGGTGAACTGTCCCGCGACACTGGCATACGCGTTCATCAATATAAACCAGTTATTGACAACTGTCAGTTCGAAGAGCGTGACTCCACTCGTGACTAGGTTCTCGAAGTTGTTCAGGTAATAGTAGCCGAGGGCGGTCGAGCTATTGGACGAGTACTTGTAGAAGTCTTCCACCGTTGTATTCCTGAGGGTAGGCAGATATATCATTGAAACCAAAGGGTGCTTGCATGGGTACTTAACTGAGTTAAACGATGGTTTTTTTTATTATTGCTTAGATGGGTGGACGAGCTGACAGCCCACCTGGTATTAAGTGGCTACTGGAGCCCATAGACAACTACAACGTAAATGCACCACCCAACTTGAAATAAGTTCTAAGGTCTCAGTATAGTTACAACGGCTGCCCCACCCTTCAAACCGAAACGCATTACTGCTTCACGGCAGAAATAGGCGGGGTGGTGGTACCTACCCGCGCGAACTCAAGAGGTCCTACCACCAGTAAAGTAAGTGTTTTTTTGTACAATTAAAACCACGAAGTTATAAAAACACTAGTCAATCGCAACCCCGAAAACTGTAAAGCATTCTTAATGTCGGAAATAATATCAGAATCAGTTTTAATTTTGTTTATGATTCGCGAAAACCGAAGAAAATAACTACGTCTTCCGTATTGAGAATGGATGTTTGACAGAGCTCACAGATCTCCTAATTTGACATCATAACATCAAGACATCAAAACGTGAGTTCCACCACCCACCCTGTTGAGGATGACATGTCTATGAGGGCGATATGTCTTGACATAGGGTCATAGTGGCGAGGTGGTGATATCTCGGTGGTACATCGACGAAGTACTTTGAGACTGCTGCTACCATTTTCTGGTGAATCCCTTAGTCATCTCATAAGAAACGCGGTAAGAGAAGGAGTGGCTATTCTAGGCCTACACCTAACGTATGTAATGGTGATAATAATAATTTTCACTCACACACAACAGTTCTTTAGTTGATAAGAAGCGAAGAGCTCCATCCCGATGATCGAGAAGAAGTAGTACATGACCAGCATCACGCAGCCAGCCGATGACATCAGGGGAGACAGGAGCACTAGAGTTCCGAAGACATCACGGTACCGCTTCTTCAGCTTGTAGAGACGCATTAACCTGTGTTAAATAGATTGTGTTAGCCCTGGATTTTTCGGTACAGGTTTGAGATGAGCGGTAACCCCCCTACCTCATCCGGGTTCTGACCTCGGAGGGGATCGGACGCTTGAGCGAAGAGTGCAGGCTTGAGATGGGCCAAAATTACTGTGACTGCTCAGGTGTTCAGATGGTAATTTACGGTACCTTTCGTAAATTGCTAGGGGGTACTACCTAGCTACACTACTACTGATGACTTGTACTAATGGGGGAAAGGTTTGAAGGTTGGAACGTTCGTTATCCAATTAAGATTTCGAGATCATGTGTTAAGGTTGTCGGTGACAATTGCCTTGTTTTATTAATGGATTTTTAAGGAATAGAAGAGTCGTTGTTGTTTTAGAGAACTAGGGCCTAATCTAGGACGGATGGGCAAGCTCGGTTAGGAAGGAATGGTTTGATAATTACTGCCCGAGCGTCCCTCGTAGAACTCCAAGGGCAGTTGCTTGACCTGTAATTTCTAACTATATAGAGTAGTTCAAAAGGATCCGAGAGGATAAAACTAAGACGTTGTGGCCCGGAGGCTTTTCCAATTTCACCAGGACAGATGGGCGAGCAAAGGCTCGGCCAGGAAGAGTGGTATTAGCTAACATCTACCCGAGCGCCCGAAGGAGACCTTACAACGCAAGAGTAATTTCTTCGCGAATGAATCTACTCCCGGGTCGGAATCGAGACCCGCTGAGAAGATCCGGCGAGAAACTCAGCGGTCTGATGCATGGGTTAGGTTGCACGTCCACCTCTTTGTCGAGTTCGACGAGTACGGTTACCGGGGTTCCTAAACCTACTCTGTTAGAGCTGAAGATGTCTAATGCAAAGGTTATTGGATCTGATGGATCCGTAAGGACATACCTTATCGTGTTGAACTGCAGATTCAAAGTAACTGTTATCGGGCTCTGATAGCCACTTTATACTAGGCAATCTATTCTTCAGTCCATCTAGAGCGAAATAAAAAGCGGTTCTCACCTGAGAGGCCTAAATATTACAACGATGAATAGCCCAGGAGCGATCGACAGCAACACCGCACCCATCAATGCTAATAACGTAACACTGAGATCGAAGACATTCCAGCCGCTCTCCAAGTACGCGGCGAGTCCGGAGGCCATCATCCGCAGGGCCGCTTCGATCAGGAACACTGGAAACGAAAAATTTGTAACTATACTGAGACCTTCGAACTCATATCTCGAGGTAGGCGGTGGCATTTACGTTGTAGATGTCTATGGGCTCCGGTAACCACTTAAAACCAGGTGGGCCGTGAGCTCGTCCGGCCATGTAAGCAAATGGCTGCCATTTCAACTTGTTTCTCTTACTGCAAAACTTAATAGCTTTTTAAATAGTTTTGAAATAGATAAATTGGTCTATAAAATGATGATTCAAGTGGTGGCTGTTTTGAAGTTCTACTTAATAGTTTCTGCAGCATTCCACGTCAATTTTAACTCGTTACAGAGTATAAATAGTATAATCAAGATTTTTGAATGTCCTACTAATGGATAAGGTCTTTTTAAATCATAGTGTAGTAGTGACTAGATGATGACCGAGCTTTGCCTGGTTTTTTTTTTGATAACGCCATCTTTTTGTGTCTTTAAAGCGGTTAGTTGCCCTCAATTAAGAAAAATAATATTATTATTCGCCAATAGATGTCGGGAAGAGTTGATTATTGAAAACACGAATAAAACAACATTTTCTGAAAATAAATCGTAGCTAGATCGATTTATCGCCCCCAAAATCCCCTGTATACTAAATTTTATGAAAATCGTTGGAGCCGTTTCCGAGATTCAGATTATATATATATATATAATGTATTTATTAATTTAAATCAAAATATAGTTTAGCTTTGTAAAACTATACATAGCAATTGAGTTGCTCTTTTAAAGAGAAACAACATTTAAAGCTATTGCTTCACCATTATTTTTATATCTTTTTATATTTTAATATTGCAAAAATGCTCTTTATATGCCTAATGTCCTAATATTTCAATAATCGAAATTCTATTTATGTCATCTATAGAAGAATGATATAAATAACATATTAACCTCTTTAAGGATTAATCGTATAGAGGTTACATATATATACAAGAATTGCTCGTTTAAAGGTATAAGATAAGAGAAACCTTAATCAAACTCTTACAGGTCAAGAACAGCCACGTGTCCCATGAAGCGCAGAGCAGCTGTGCACTCGTCTGCAGGTTTTCGTTGATCTGACACAGTCGCCACACTAGCGACACGCCATTACACACGATCACGGCATCTGTCGAAGAATTTGTAAATTATTGTAAATTATTTGTAAATTAAAACGAAGCCCGTTTTTATAACCTACCCACAGAATGATTTGACTCGCTTTTTTGTTAAGCTTAGGTGTTGGTAAAGCGGTGCTGACTGTCTCAGAATTAGCTAAAATGTTCTAAATAATTAGAAATCAACCTCCTGTTTTGAGTTAATTATGTTATGTTTCTTCCTTAAGTATGGATTTGCGACTTCCAATACCGAGAACTGAGATAGTCTCAAAGGTCGAGTAATCAATGCCTGAAACTCATTACCATAGCTTAAAGTAAATAAGACTTACATATTACATAGTATGCTTTAGTAATCTATTAATTTATTAAAGTGGAAATTGATAGATCATTTAATAAGAAGCAAAACAGAAAAACGGTCCAAATTAGTAACTGAATGGTACCCTCGAGAGGGGAAAAGATTACAGGCTCTACGTGGAAGAGGAAATGCCACGACCGGAATTTATAGCAGGATTTGGGGGAGGCCTATGCGAAAGCAAAGCAATCTTAGCCGATGTGAAATGCAAAGAAAAAAAAAGTTAAATGAATAGTATGTACCTAAATGTGAATTAAGATTGTTAATAAAGGCTTCTTTTCTTTTCTTTTCTTTTAGTAATCTGTGGACTTACAGACAAGATGCTCAAAGTGTTTCCAGTGCACGGCGGCGGCGGCGGCGCGGGCGATGGGCTCGAGCGGCGACGCGGCGTACCACGGAGCGCGCGCGGTCTGCGCCGCCCAGCGCAGTGCGAACACATCGTACACGTTCGCGAACTCCGCCCGGGAGAGACCCCCTGTGCCGGTCTGGTTCAGGTGCTTGAACATTAGGTACACGTCTAGACCATCTGGGGAGGTAAGGACAATACACTGGTGTGAGCGGACGGTGTACTCGTGACGAGACGAACTATGCAAGGATTGGGGTATAAAACAATTTTCAGACAGGCGTTAAAAAATAATCTCGCAAAGTCTACTAATAGCTTACTAATAGCTTGCTAATAGTAATTGCTGGTAGTAGAGTTGGGACTGGCGCCGCCAAACAATACAACTGAAGTCGTATTGGAAGGAAAGGTTAAGAAAGGATAAGAGATCCGGTGCATTCGTATTGAGCGATATATTGGTGTTCGAATCACAGGCAGGCAATTTTTGTAATGAAATACGTACTCAGCAAATGTTCACAATTTACTTCAAGTAACATCGCGTAATAAAAATCAAACCCGCAAATTTATAATTTGCGTAATTACTGGTGGTAGGACCGACCTCTTGTGAGTCCGCGCGGGTAGGTACCACCACCCTGCCTATTTCTGTCGTGAAGCAGTAATGTGTTTCGATTTGAAGGCTGTGAGCTCGTCCACCCAACTGTAAATACGACCTCGTGTCTCAAGATGAGTAACGGCATTAAATATTGCCAGTGGACTCTGATGCTAATCTTTAGCGGTAAACAAATTAATAAACTGAAATTACAAGAGGGCACTAACTGTAATGCGGCGCGTAATGTCTCATGAGTCCCGCGAAGTGTCTCAACCGGACTGCGTGAGGCGCTCGTCGTGAGACAAGCAGTCGGAAGGCGTGACGTGTAGCGCCGCGGCGATGCAGTAACAGCGCGCGACATTTCTCGCGTTCGATCCGGGTGAAGGTCTCGTAAACAACGGCCAACATCTGAAGACAACGCACAGCTATTCAATACAGATTGGCATAGTTGCAGAATTTTATCAATTCTTTACTGACTTCAGAATACGGAAGGAAATAGGAATTATGCCGGGAGAGGTAACTTGTACCGAGAATGTACTTTGGTTGATACACACATATGACGTTCAAACATGGTACGCAATGTATACTTAACATGACTGTCGACTAATCAAACTAAAACGATACGGCTTTAGTAGGTAGATATTTTTTTTCTGTTAATATTTATGTAGTAAAAAATCCCTTTTCAATCTTTGGATTAGTTTCCTGTACTTCGTCAATAAGACTGTTTATACTAACCAAATTCATCAAGACGTAGAGAACGGTGATTATGTACAAGATGAAGAATAGTGCGTACCACTTCGACTTGGCATAAGATGGCATCATCACATCTGGGAAGCTGAAATAATAATTATTTTTAGGAAAAGTCAATATAACGTAATGTATATTACAAATTCTGTTAACATTGCATCATAAACTATTTCGATCCGGTGGTAGATTCTGCGCGGTACTGCTCTCGTGAAATGTAGTGGCAGGCGATTTTGTCATTCGCACATTTTACGGTACCATTCAATCATATCAGCGAGATCGATAATATTCAACCAAACAAAAAATAAATAGTTTAATGCATGAATCAACTTACTTTGCCGAAGTCAGCAAAACAAACATACTAACGAATGAGTCACTAAGCGTCTGGAAGTGTCCATTGTCTACGTGCTCAGAGAATAAATAGAATCCTAAAAGCGAGTAAGTCGCCACGAAGAACATTAATAGACCTGCAACAAAAATACAATTGTATTTAGATTACTCCTTTTTCGTGTCTACTGATCACAGTTATAATAACATCGAAACACATTCAACATAGATTCTTTTTTATATTACCTATTAGATATTATTATGTTTATTTTTTTAAGATCTAGATCTAATCAATGGATTTAACCAAATTTTGCTATGCCATTTAATATACATATATACTCAAGCTTAACTATTGATTACATCGTTTTTAAATTGCCTTTTTTAAAGACAGGGCAGAACAAAAGTTATCTAAAAACTGATCTCATAGTTTCGTATATTTATAATGTCAGTTTATCTAGATGACATTTTTGTTACATTCAACATGAATGGAAACGTTCAAAAAGTTTTTTAACTTTACGTCAATTCTTGATGTTTGTGCATCTCTGTATTAGTTATTCATACCTAACATATCAATAATCGGTGGTAACGATTGCAGAATTTGTCTAATGAACCTCCGTACTCCGCCGCAGTGCCGCGTGTCCACTAAGAAGATAGGACGCAACGCCCTCGTTACTCTGAAGTGTGAGGATTGCCGGCATAGCACTACCACAGCTTCAAGCACCATTATTAGCAGGGTTATACCCTGGAAATATCAAGAATTATGCGTGAAATTATCTCTATTTTTATCACGTACAGTCATAACTAGAATGACTAAAGTCTTAAATATATCCAACTGATTTCTCAAAATAGTTACATTGTGTGGTATACACATTGACAAGTGGCCCGTGGTCAACAAGAATTGTCCTACATTTAAATGACCCATAGTAGAGTGAATCATTTAGTACAGTGGGTCGACATACAGTAATTGTGATGATAATTGGGTAAGGCGAAATCAAGTAAAATAAATCGTTTCTATTGTGTATATTTTAATATGTAATATGTTCTTTATAGCCCATGATATTATTGTAATTAAGAAGCGGCTAGTTTTTCATGAGAAACTTAAAATTATTTATTTACCATATTTAAATGTATTTAGTTAAATTGGTAGGGAATAAAAACGGGGATTAAAATTTTCCTTCCAAAATTTCAAGTTCCATTTTTTTATATTACAGCACTACCTCGTGGAATTCGAGGACCATACAATAAAATACTTATCCCTTATCTAGTTTATCAGCGATCGATCCTTTCGCGAAATTGAGATTGTAATTTTCGATTGTAATTTCAAAAGTGAAGCTCTATACATTATTAGTTAAAATGTTAATTAGCTTGTTACATATTTAGGTCGGAGATCATCTTACATAAACCGCCAAAAACGTTGTACACAAAATGATTATTATATTTATGTAACCATTTTTATTAAAACACACATCATGTGATATGTAATATAGCAGAAAACCCATAATTCTTCTTTCGAATTGACAACTAATTTTAAAGCCTGTCACTACCAACAACCGTATTTTCCATTGAAGAAAGGTTTTCTTTAAAACATGCACAATTCTCTGCATCTGCAGATCAAAGAAGTTCGCGTATCGTACCTTTAACATGGTCCTCTTGTGTTTAAGTATGGTGCTCCATCCGATCCATTTTAGTTTCAGATGTAGCTCTATTCCGATCACAGTTAACGCCATTAATTCTATAGTACCGTGTGCCCATACTGGAAGCTAAAATAACATCAGTACATTAGTACCATTACCCAACAGCTTTCCAGATTTCAGTAGCGATACCATTATGTATATTGACTCAAATTGTAATGCAGTTTACATTCTTTAATGGTATCTTTGGATTCCTGTTCGTATCTCAAAAATATAAGGGTAACCTTTGGATCTTTCATTCAAGATCCTGAAATACGTTTCCCATCCTAAAAAAAGGATAGGAAAAAGAAAATGAAAGCACAGAAGATTCAATAAAGAAGAGAAAGAAATGGCATGAGGGGAAAAGTATGTTTGTAATACATCTTACCTCAAATGTGGGAACGGCTGGGTCTTCGGTGAATGCCAATAATATTAAAACTAATGAAGCTAGTAGATCGAGGCCATGGTACCAGGGGTTGTGTACCCTGAGGTAGGCTGGTAACTCTTCGGGACTAGATGGATGGGAGTCGAACTTTTCGTTGTTTTGACCTTCCTGAAATATTTTTTTTATAATATAATATATGCTATAATTATAATAATAGTATTATATAGTACAGTACTGTACAGTACAATACAGTACAGTATAGTATATCTGATCACCTCTAAATAAATAGCTGCCTCGTGGTAGTTCATCTCCCAATGCTCGTCTTCGGACATGTGGAGGCCCGTGTGGAGGGACGAGCGACTGCCCATGTCCAGAGTGCTGCTGTCACCGCCGCCATCTGTGCCCGTACGGGAATCTGGAATCGGCAAACGTAACACGAGTGCTGAATGCGAATCGAAAATTGTTATCATAAAAAGAATGAACAAAAGTGCGAAAAGTTTATTAATATAACATGCGGTAGGCAGCGGCTTGGCTCTGCCCCTGGCATTGCTGAAGTCCATGGGCGACGGTAACCACTCACCGTCAGGTGGGCCGTGTGCTCGTCTGCCTATAAGGGCAATAAAAAAATAATAATAATATAAATTGCTTTTCTAACCGCTAAATCTGTAGACATTCAAGCCACACATACATTGGCATTGTCACTAAGGTTATTATTGATAAGGACCACCATGAGATAAAATACGAGCACTTTCATGCATCTATTAACATATGTTATTACATAATTTTAATAATTTATGTAGCTTAAGTTTATGAAGTGGATGAGGAGAGCCGGGCTTAGTGCTGTGAATTGGGAGATTATCCAGCCGTGGAGGACTGTGAGCTGATGATGATGAAGATAATGACGAAGATGATGATGATGATGATGTAGTTTAAACAATAAAAAACACACACACATACACACACAGATTTAAATAGCAAACCGAACTAATAGCGAATTTCATCTTTCTTCAATCAGAATTTCATCATCATCACCTGTTCATTCCGGTCAAGATATTAAAGCGAACTTATATAATTGGTGCATTGTTGAGTTTATCGAACCTCTTCAAGTCTGAGAAAATGACTTTACGTACAACCAAACATACCTAAGCTAATAAAAGCTAGTCAAAGTGATATATACGTTCAGATACCAGGGCACACAAGAAAAGTTGCACTGAGGAATTAGAATAGGGACCATCACTACCTATTATCTCGGTGATAATAATTTTAAGCTTTTTGTTTCCTACCTAAGCTAGCGATTGGGTGAGCTCAGTGCTTTGCTGAATCTACCACCGGATCGGAAACGCGACCCACTGAGAGATCCGGTGAGAAACTCAATGGGCTGCGTCTGTGGGTTATTTTAAACTGATTAAATAGAAGAGTGCGTGAATAAAAAACGTGATAGTATTTGACTGGACCATTCGGGGTCACAGTCTAATACCTTGGTACTATTAGATTCACAACGACAGAGAGAGGAAGAGATGGAGAAAGATCGTGCGAGAGAAAGTGATACAGAAGAACGGTCGCTACCCACAGTTTTTTATTTATTGTTTATATGGTTTAACGAGCTCACAGCCCACCTGATGTTAAGTGGTTACTGGAGCCCACAGACAACTACAACGTAAATGCGCCACCCACCTTGAGATATAAGTTCTAAGGTCTCAAGTATAGTTACAACAGCTGCCCCGAAACCGAAACGCATTACTGCTTCACGGCAGAAATAGGCAGGGAAGTGGTACCTACCCGTGCGGAGTCACAAGAGGTCCTGCCGCCAGTAATTACGCAAATTATAATTTTGCGGGTTTGATTTTTATTACACGATGTTCTTCCTTCACCGTGGAAGTCAATCGAACATTTGTTAAGTACGTATTTCACTAGAAAAATTGGTACCCGGGTGCAGGATTCGAACACCGTTGCATCGCTCAACACGAATGCACCGGACGTATTATCCTTAAGGACACGACGACTAAGAATTAAGGAATACGAGGCATGAAAGTAGATTAGACTGGTCCGCAACTTACCTATCACTGCGGCCGATCCGACAATGTCCATTTTGATTTAAACAAGCCACAGCATAAGAGAGATGCAATGAATTTAAAATGATTAAGATAACAGACAATAATTATAGATTACTTAGTTCCAATCAAAACATGCTACTTAAACTAAGCTCAGCTTAGAAAAGACTAAGTAAAATTTTTGGTATTAAATTTGTAATTAAAAAAATATTGATTTTCAAATTTTCAAAATATTACCTATATATATTAATACGTGAAGCAAAAACTTTGTATCCCTTTTTACGAAAATTGCGCGGACGGAGGAGTATGAAATTTTCCACACTTATAGAGAATATAGAGAAGAAGTGCACAATGCTAATATTTTTTTTAAATAATGCATAAAAGATACATTAAATCAATAAAGAAAACATTACACACACTACATACCATGTATTTGACGCACACACGCATGCATACTATTTATTGTCAAACTTGTGTTCTTGACGTCTGTGGTCATAATAGTGTACAAACTTACAATTCCAATTAATTATAGTCGAATTTCGGGTACTGCGAGACCTCTAGTATATATAAAAACACGTTTGAAATACTACACAATGACAGAGAGCGAACACACGTTCAACCGCTGGGTTAAGCTAACGAATATTAAAACGTATTGTAAAATCATGATGTCTCGGAACAGTTACATGTAATTAACATTGTTTGCAAACGCGCTAGATGAATCAACGATTTATTTTAAAGAACATCTGTGTTAATAATAGAAAGATGCATGAAACATTGTTGTTAATAGTCCAAGAGGCAGCACGGTAGAATAATCTATGAACCGTCCCACTGTAAGATTGGTATGCTCATCAATTTTAGGCTATCAGCTTATTTTCACAAATATGTATGAATGGGGGAATATATTTTCACCAAGTACCATATCAGAATGTGGCTGTAAATATTTTTAATTAAAATTATATTGGTTGATTTTCCAGGAATAATTTTGAGTCTCTTGTTTTCAATCAAAATATAATCCAGATTACTATTAACTAACTTTTCAATTTATTAATTGAAAAGTTTTTGTTAGTGGTATACAGTTTTAACTTTGCTACATTCATACGTCTGTCAGAAGTCTGAAGTCGTTCTGGCCTAATGGATAAGACGTCCGGTGCATTTGAATCTGGCGATGCAACGGTGTTCGAATCCCGCAGCCGGGTACCAATTTTTCTAGTGAAATACGTACTTAACTAGACTTCCACGGTGAAGGAATAAGATCGTGTAATAAAAATCAAACCTGCAAAATTATAATTTGCGTAATTAATTGTGGTAGGACGTTTTGTGAGTCCGCACGGGTAGGTACCGACCCCTGCCTATTTCTGCCGTGAAGCATAATGCGTTTCGGTTTGAAGGGTGGGGCAGCCGTTTTACAACATTTACACTGCAAATTACTTTATTTAAAGCACTGCTGTTGCTAGGGCTAGTGTTACCAACGTCTTCAGGTTAGAGCCCCGTCAATTCACTTACTCGCCCGATCAATATGACCCCTCGAGGTCACTAGGATAGGTAAAAAAAATAAAAATAAAAACGCTCCCAGTCTTACAGCGACTATCTAAGTAGCATCAGTACTATTTGTTCAACTACAAACTCACACGCTAACGCGAGCAAACAGTCGCAAGTCACATATAAGCTACACGCGACGAGAGACAACGTTTATTGTTACACGTGTCACTGATATTCGTCATCAAAACTCTCAGCTAGGAAGTACGGTTGACAAAACAACTGTTCTATATTAAACGTATTTCTATTCAATATTATATTCGTTTGTCTATTGTGCATTTGCAGACACATGTAAACATTTAAAGCTCCTGAACTGGGCAGACAGACTGAAAAAACTAAACATAGAAAACTACTCTTACTATTACTTTAACATTGATTAAAACTACTTTTACGATTTAATCTCGGGTTTGTTTATTGTAATGTTATCATTACCGACGTTCTTCGGACAGTTGACGTGGTCACCGGACGATTAGGATGTTAGTCATCGAATTTTAAAAAATATGCTAACTACCGCCTTTTTATCTAAATGAAACAAACAATAGATTAAACGATAAATATTTGTTTTAATTATGTCTAGGAAACGCAAAAACTGAAGTAGACTTTGTTAATGATATTTAATGATATAATATAATGACATTTTCAACTATCCCTTAACGGTAACAGACAATCATTGTAGTTAAGATTAAAGATATTTATAAAATAAAATATGAAACGTAACTCAAAACGCGACTCCGTTAAAAATATTAATAAAAAATCGGGGGAAAAAAACTATGACAAAAATACACTGTCATATAAATATATAGCTTGAATGTTAGTAAAGTTATTGCAGATAGAGACGTTATACAGTTTTTTTTGTCAGGAGGAAATTGCCGTACTTTCGCCCTCCACTGAGGATGGCGGGCGGGGCATGTCGGAGTAGAACCAACTAAAACCCCCTTTCGCTCAACAACCCACGTCCGAACCTCGCATGGGAGAGAACTCATGAGAAAGCAAAGGGGGGAGAGTGAATCGTTTAGTGGGGAGCACATCTCTCCCATCACCCTCCTCCTCGGGACGCCGGACCAGCGGTTGTCTGCGCCACGCTCCGGTCATTGTTCTCGTCGAACCCGTCGCTTGCGACGAAGGGCTCGACGAGTAAATTAACCCTCAGACACAGCCCACTGAGTTTCTCGCCGGATCTTCTCAGTGGGTCGCGTTTCCGATCCGGTGGTAGATTCTGTGAAGCACGGCTCTTGCTAGGGTTCGTGCTAGCAGCGTCGTCAGGTTTGAGCCCCGTGAGCTCACCTACTAGTTAAGGTTCCGCTGATATAGCCTCTCAAGGCTATCAGCTTAGGTAGGAAAAAAGGCGCCCCGACCACCAGCCCTCTCGACTTATACACCATAACGTATTTTATTCTTCTACCAGTCGTCGATCACGTTAGTTCTCGAAATAATCATAACCCTCCTTCGGCAGTCTAGTAAATAGTACATCACGGAAGCCCTACTGACTGGGTTATTCATTAGTTTTTGCCACGCGATCGGGAGTGTGAATTTTTCACAATACGTAATAAGAAATTACGTAAGCCCGAGTTTGTACGAAAGTTACAACATTCGGGCGTTAGGAGGCAATCGCACTAAATTAATATAGAAGATTTGTATTAAAATTATTTTCAATTTGACTTTCAGTTTTTTCTTGTAATATATTTTGAAATATTACTTATTGTGTTTCGATAACAATTTCATAGTGATTTGTTCCTTAAACCTGTCATTTATGTTTCTTAAACGAACCAATATTTTTTTTTGTGTTAGAAATTATGTATCGGGCATAAAAATTTTAGAAATGTTACAG